CAATCTGTGGAATTCATTGCCAGTAGATGTTGTGAAGGCCAACAGGCATAACTGAGTTCAAAGAAGGATGAGAAGATCATGGGAGCTAGATCCACATCTATCAATGACTGGGGGACACTCCCATGATCTGGGTGTCCATAAAACTCTGATTGCCAGAAGTTGGGAATGTACAAAAAAGCAGAGATCGCTCAATAAATTACCCTGTTCTGTTCATTCCCTTTGAAACATCTGGCCTTGGCCAGATCAGACAACAGGGCTAGATGGACTAATTTTCCAAACCAGTATTGACCTTCTTATGCAATAAAGCAGAACTAAAGAAATAGGAGAGGCTCAAACTGGTATAAGGGGGAATTTAGGGAAGATTAGGGTGGGGAGATGGAAGACGCAGGAGCTTTGTGACTTGTAATGACATCATAACGGCTTCTTTGCAGTTGTGCTGTCAATAGAAATACTCCTTACTGGAAATATAGTATTACTGACTGAGAGGTTAATTGTACTTCAGTGATGTTAAAAATCTGACTCGAGCCCATTCATCGAAGGAACTCCAGGTAAAGAAGTTGCTTGTCTTTATATATGAAAAACAATCTTTTAACAGGGATGTTAGATATTGTGTTTTTTTAGTAATTGTGTATCTACAATTTTTAACACTTATATGGTTACTAAATATTCCCTGGGGATGACAGCTAGTGCACTTCCAGCCCAACTCCCAGGGAGCCCCCTGCCACTCCGTGGGGTGCCAGGTAGAGCTGGTCTGGTCTGTCTATGGTGAGTCTGGGCCCACAGCGGACAGAGACTGCTGTGCAGCAGCAGCCCCTGTCTGCAGGGGGCCCAGCTTCCTGTGGACAGAGGCTTCTCTGGCATCCCACCCACCCACATCCCCTGCTGCTGCCTCTGATACAGAAGCAGCAGAGTGTGCATCTGTGGGGGGCAGACGACTCCGCAGGATCAGGTGCTCATGGGGAGCCAGCTTTTAAGCACTGGCTTCTGCCTGCCTCCAGCACTGCTGCCTCTGTGAGAGGCAGCATGGGAAGTGGGAGGCAGCTCCATGGGAACCAGCATGCACAGGGAGCAGACATAAAACCTGGTTCCCCATGGGTACCTTCTCCTGCCTCCCTCCCCCTTGCTGCCCCTGATACGGAGTCAGCAAAGCGGGTGGAGGTTGCCTATAGTCATTTGAATTAACCAATAAACCCAGGATTATCAGATAGTAGTTTAAATGTCTAGATGCATCTTTCAATTTGAAGGATCACAAAATACCTTACAAATTAAGGGCCAAATTATGCTATTAAGTGTGCACAGGCTGGCTTGCACCAATGTCAGGAAGAGCCCTGCTTACATAGCTGAGAGTAGGGTTTGAGCCAGTATGTCACTAGAAATATTTCCATGCACCTGTGACTGAAAAGCATGCACTGAAAAGCATTCCTTTTTGCATGCAGGAACAGTCACATAGCAGGGAACTGAAACTGCAGGGAGAGAATATGTAGGCAGAATGTAATTACTCAGGTTGGAAGGAAGGTTTGTGTACTAGGAATCCATCAAGCAGACTTTTAAAACTTTGGCATTGTTTTTTGTTATTTTATGAACATAACAACTTGTAGGTGCCAGGGATTTGAGTAGTCAGCACTCTCAAACGAACAGTGATTTTCTGGGACTGTGCAATACTTGAACAGCTAAATTCGGGGCACAGTATGGTGTCATCTGGTATAATTCCATCAGCTTCACTAGAGTTCTTCCACATTGACACTGCTGAAATTGAGACCAGAATGTCAAAAGATGCCCATTGAAAGGCATCTGTCTGTGGGATGGCTTAAAGGAAATTCAGGTTGAAATTAATTCATAGGCAGTAGATAAATTTACTAATCCATACTGAGATATGATCAGGCTGCTTTGATTACTATAAGAGATAAACAGTGTTTGAAGCATTCAGTGAAGAATTTTTTACCTCATTCTTTTGGGCAACTAATTTATTTTCACCATTTCTTAATTAATTTGAGTCCTTTTCTGCAAAGTCTGTAACATTTTCAAGCCATCAGTATTAGTCATGCAGGATTATTTGGTATAGCACTTATGTGGCCTCTCTTATTTGTCTCTGCAGCAAACTGATCAATCACAGTCTCTCTTACATTTTGGTTTCCATTTAGCTGTCCACATCACATATATAGTAGCCCAATGTCTGTGACTCTGTAACGCTGTAGCGTTTGGTGTTGCCTCTGGGGGGCACTGTTGCCTCCCACTGTGGTGCTCAGCTGACTTCTTATGCGCCACTCAGCCAGGCCGCCGCATGGGAGCAAGCAGTACAAGTGGCCATTTGGGCTCCATGCTCCCCATGCAGGAGGAGGAAGAGAAGAGAAAGAGAGAGTGAGAGGCAGGAGGAGGAGGAGAAGAGAGAATGAGAGGCAGGAGGGGGAGGAGAAGAGAAAGAGAGTGAGAGGCAGGAGGGGGAGAAGAGAAAGAGAGACGGGGAGGGGTGGGGGGGGGGGAGGCAGTAGAGGAGGGGAGAGAGAGAGAGAGACGGAGTGAGAGACCGGAGGCTCAGGAAAGAAGACTGAGATAGAAAGGGAATAGGACGTGGAGGAGAGACCTGAAAATCCCATTTTATGACGGGCTAATTGGCTAGTTTTAGGAAGAGCAACAAAACCAGCATTTATGTAAAATATTGTGAGCTACAAGTCAGGATTATTTTTCTAAGTGTTATTATTGTTGAATTTTCTGAAAATGTTAGTAAAAAGGTTATTGAATGTAATAGAGTTTACATCAAATACTGGAAATCTGAAAATACCAAGTATTTGATAGTATCTGAATACTTAATACTGTATTGATTACACAAATATCCCACAAGAGCATTTTCCTGTATTTTAAATCTGGTATTTCCTCATTATTGATCTTATCCGTATGATTGTAATCAATGGCAACACTTCCCTTAACTTCAAAGAGAATAGGATTAGATTCTATTCAGGGTTATATATTAACTGTAACTATTCAGATGAAAGACCAGAGTACCTTTATGGAAATGTTGGGGATAACTGGTTACTCATGTCAGCAGCAGCCACAAAATCAAACTGTTAACATGTTAAAAAATAGTGAAGAAAATATTATAGCATACGTTCTCACCTACAGTAATATGTTCACTACTGTCACAAAAAAGATACAGCAGAAATGGGGTGAAGAGGTAAGTGGCAAAAATAGAGGCAAAGAGAAACTTCCATACGAAGAACAACTTGAAAAGACTGGGACTGTTCAGAGAGACAATGAGTAAAAGAAACATAAGAACAAACAAAAACCATGCCGGGTCTGATCAAAGGTCCATCTAGCCAAGTATCCTGTCTTCTGACAGAGGCCAATGCCAGGTGTCGCAGAGGGAATAAACAGAACAGGTAATCAGCAAGTGATCCATTCCTTGTCGCACATTCCCAGTTTCTGGCAAACAGAACCCCTACCCATCATGGCTAACAGCCATTGACTAACCTATCCTCTGTGAATTTATCTAGTTCTTTTTTTAACTCTGATATAGTCTTGGCCTTCACAATATCCACTGGCAGAGTTCCACAAACTGACTTTGAGATGTGTGATAAAATACATCCTTTTGTTTGTTTTAAACTTGCTACCTCTTAATTTCATTTGGTGGCCTCTATTTCTGGTGTTATGAGGAGGAGTAAATAGCATTACTTTATCTACTTTCTCTATACACGTCATGATTTTATAGACCTCTAACATAACCCCCGCTCCCTCGGTTTTCTTGTTTCCAAACCAAAAAGTCCCAGTCTTATTGATATCTCCTCATATGGAAGCTGTTCCATACCCCTAATACTTTCTGGTTTCCTTTTCTGAACCTTTTCCAATTCCAAAATCTATTTTTTGAGATGGGCAACCACATCTGCACTCTGTATTCAAGATGTGGGCATACCATGATTTATAAAGAGGCAATACGATACTTTCTGTATTTTTATCAATCCCTTCCTTAATGATTCCCAATAGTCTGTTTTGCTTTTTTTGACTGCTGCTGCACATTGAGTGGAAGTTTTCAGAGAACTATCCACAATGACTCAATGACTTCTTGAATGATCAGGGCTCGACAATTAGGGCAATCTACTCACCCGTGGCGAGTAGATTTTAGCCCGGCACAGCGCCGCAGCATGATCAGCACATGCGCAGCGTGGTCTACGCTTGCGCAGCATGCCAAATCACTCAGCTGGCGAGAAGGGCTCGCTGCCCCTTGTCAAGCCCTATGAATGATAATAGCTAATTTATATCCCATCATTTTATATGTATAGCTGGGATTATGTTTTCCAATGTACCTTACTTTTCATTTATCAACATCAAATTTCATCCACCAATTTTGTTGCCCAGTCATCCAGATTTGAGAGATCCTTTCGTAGCTCTTCACAGTTTCCTGGAGGATAACTATCTTAAGAAGTTTTGTCCCATCTGCAAATGTTGCCACCTCACTATTTACACCTCTCTTCAGATCATTTTTGAATATGTTGAAAAGAACTGTCCCAGACTCGTATGGAGAAGGAAAATTAGATGCTCCTTTTTTACTTTTTCTCCTAATTAAAGAACAAAGGGACATTCAATGAAACTGAAAGGCAATGCATTTTCAGCTGGTGAAAGGAAATACTTTCACCAGTTTTTTATTTATGCCATACATATTTAAAACATTTATTTTGTGGATCTCTATACTACAGGATACATAGTGACCAAGAACTTAGAAGGATTCATTAGAGGATAAGACAATGATAAGAATCATGACGACATTCACAGTTTAATTAATCAGGTGTGATTTGTGAGTGGAGGAAGGTATCACATCAAAATGATGGTGTTTTACCCCCGCTTTGTATTCCACTCTGCACAGGTGTAAATGACTACACAACATAAGGCAAATAGCACATCCTAAGAATATAGTTTCATTAAGAGCTTACATGAATTTTCGTGGTTTCTCCAAAAATATCCTTGAATACAATGTTTAATGATTAATTTCCTGTTTGTTTTTTATCTTTCAGGTCTGAAAAGACAAAGAGAATGAACTACGGGTTGAGAGTATTGAAATATTTTATATATTTGTATGAAGATTATGAACTTGCTAAATATAAGATACTTCATAAGAAATGTCCTCTTTGTACGTTTATATCCCTTTCTTGTTGCCTATTTTGCATATTATAAAAAGTACTGGTGGCATAACCCAGTACAAAGCAAGAAGTGGTGAACCTGTACATATTCAGGAATAAGTTTGATCTTAAGAGGAGAGAATTATGTAACTCATGGTTTGAGTAAATAAATAAATAAACCAACCATTTTTCCAGGGGGGGAAATCTTCTCAACAATTGATTTTTTTTCTTGCTGTTGAAAATAGATAAAATAGACATGACAGTTCAATGGGTAACATTTTTTAATACAGCATTTCTCAAAGTGTCAGTTGGTACCCCAAAGTGGATCATGACCCATTTTAATGGGATTGCCAAGGCCAACATTAGATTAGCTGAGACTCAGGGCTGAAGCTGGAGCCTGAGCTCTGGGCTGTGCCCTCTTCTCCCCCAACCCCAGGCAGTGAGGCCTGGTCTCTAGCCCTCTCCTGGGTTCTGTAGTAACTTTGCTGTCAGAAGGAGGTTGCAATGTGATGAAGTTTGAGAACCCGTTTTAGTGAAAGTGCAGATTGTAGACCTAGTAAAAAATGTCTGTTAAATGCTTTTACCTTTGCATATTGATCAAAGGTTAATGGCTGGGTTTGAAATTCTGTATAATAAAGAGTTAAAGTAAGGTAAAAATCTTTATGTCTGCTCTTTGACAATGAGGTCAGGCTAAATTCCTCTTTCACTGTAGAGCCGCAATACAGATTGAACCTCCCTGGTCCGGCACCCTCAGGACCTAAGCAATCCTGAACCAGGGAATTTGCTGGACCAGGAGAGGTCAATACTCCCCTTCTGGCCACCAGCCCCATTCCCAGGCTCTCCTTTGGAATGCGGGGCTCCCCATCCCAGGCTCCCCTCTGAGCTGTGGGGTTCCCCAGGTCAGGGCTCCCTGCCCTGCTGCTGGCCCCCTGCCACTGGCCCTGATGAGGTTCCTCGGAGCCTGGGTTACCTGCTGCCAGCCCCAGTCCCACCAGGGCTCCCCGGGGCTGTGGTTCCCTGGTTGCAGCAGGCCCCCACTGCTGATGGGGGCCCTTAGGGCTGGGGCTCCCCAGCCGCCACCAGCCCATCTGCCAGCAGCCCAGCCGCCAGGGGACTCCCAGGTGCCGCCTGCTTCTGTCTTCTGGGGCTCTTTAGTCCAGTAACATCTATGGTCCTGCTGGACATGGATATTGCCAGACCAGAGAGTCCTGGATTTGTGAGGTTCCACCTGTATTTAGTTTTGGGAGTAATTTTTTGCCTAAAAATATAACATGCAGTGTTTGGATATTTATGCATTGCTTTTACATTATACAGAGCTGGTGTCAAAAATATGAGGTAAAAAATCCTTAAACAGACCCTGATTCAAGAAACCATCTCTATTCAGGAAAGCACTTAAGTGTGTGCTTAAAATTAAGCGCACATTTAAGTGCTTTTGTAAAACAGTGGGTCTTCAGACCCAATCTGAAATCCTTACTGAAACAAATATTCCCACCAACCTTGGGATAAAGAATGTCTGAACAAGTGATAAAGAATCAGACCTTAGAAGGTAATATAAATACTGTATCCTATATGTTTCCACTGTATTAATATTGCACAGAAATTGAGTATGATCAAATGGATCTTAAATATTATGATTAAATGTGAAAAACCACATGCTTCTTTTATATGGAATGTACATAATGAAGATTGCTTAAGGCACATTCTATTTTTGGAAATGAAATTTTATTGTTGGAGAAATTCAATATATTGTATTTCCTTGGTCTTGTTTATGTCATTTACTCACTGTGGAGAGATAGTAGAACTGTTCTGGTAGTAGTATTCATGTGCTTTCTACAAGTGACTGTACCTGTTCTGCATGTCTGGTCTGCTTGTAATTTATTCTGTTCAAACAAAGATAATTATTCTGGTTAGAAAACAGGTTTCCAATGGAATGTTGCAATCAGTGACATATGTTTAATGCAGGCAGCAGTTTCTCATTTATTACATGGCAGGATACCAAATCAGCAACTAGTATCTTTATTTTAAGAAGTCATTACAAATAATATGTGCACGACTCTCCACAGGAAATTATACAGGATTCTCAGTTACTTCAACTCAGGGAAAAGAGCATTATTTTATTTTCACTTTAAATATGCAATATCAATGTGGTTTACTATTTTGCTTTCTCCTGTACATGTGTATCTAATTCCCCTATATGCACTCTGTATCAAGAGTGACTGAGGTGAGATTAGAGGAAGTGTTGAGATCCAAAATGCATCAGAAGCCTCTTTCATTTTCACACTGACAAGATTAGCGTGACTATTTGATCAAGAATTTCCCATTATGCTGCATCATCACTGACTGTAATGCAAAATGTTCTCTAGAAAAGTGTCAGTCTTTGGATTTTTACACAATCTCCAGCTATTCACCAAGTTCACAGGTGTGGATATGGTTACTTTGTTCTATATCCCAGGACTCTCAAGGCATTGAATTTTAAATAGATCACAGTAATTCATAGATGAGAAGATACTGTTAAGCATAATTCCCACTATTTAGTGAACTTTTCCTCTCTATAATAACTAAATTCAGTTAATTAAACATGCTTTGTATATTTCCTGGTTATTTATCAACGCTGATGCTCTATAATTCAATATCTAATTTCTAGAAAGAAGGGTCTACAACTAGATGGAAATGGGCCTTTGAAATAAAGGAAGGGTGGATTGGAAATAAATGAGCAGAATGCACATATCTGGGCATCAGAGATATGGCATTAATTTTCTATTCTGAGCTACACCATTTTTTATTACTATTGTAGTTGCTGTGCATTCTTTTATTGGAGATAGTAAGAATTACATGTGAGTGTTTTAATATGCATAGCAAATTTAGGTCACACCAGAATTAAGGGTGCTGCACAATCTTGTACACATGCATTATGATGGTCTTTAATTACACAATCACATATTATTTTTCCCAGTAGACTCCTGCCTCAGTTAAGTGATCAATATCCATCCAGTGTACTGAATAATTGAATATTTTGTTTTCTTCATGTTGTTCTGAAGACAGACTTATAATTTCCTCATGGACTTTTCTGTGGTGCTCCTCACTGTTGTATCCACATTCTTCACCAACAAACATAAACCTATTTTCACAACACCCATCTGAGGCAAGTGGCTATTAGCCCCACTTACCAGATGGGAACTGAGACACAGAGAAGTTAAGCTAAAAAAATCCACTGATTTTTGGTGCCCAGGTTAAGACTCTGGAGACTTGATTCTTAGCATTCCATAACACCTCGTGTGCTCAAACCACAGCTCCCAGTTGCAGCTGTCAGAGTTCTGTCAGACCCAGAGTCTCAAACCAGACATCTGGAAAATGATGCATCAAATGAGAACTATGCCGGAGACAGGGATAGAATCTTGTTCTCCAGAGCCACATTTAACTTCCTTAATCACAAGCCCATCCTTTTTCTCCCTGAAATTCCCTGAATACAACAACCTTTTTTCCCCTATACAGCTCTGTTTCATCCCCAGAGGAGGGCCACCCTGTGAAGGGCCTCATTCAGTCCTCATCTTCTTATCATACCCCTCAGGTCCTTGTCCCACTCTCCTTGCCCAGCTAGTCTAGGGTTGCCAGATGGTTTCAGCAAAAATACCGGACACACTTGAAATTACCTCACAATCTACATTACATCCTATTTAGAAAATACTGGACATTGATATTTTGTCAATTTGTTTCCAGAACAGAAAGCTCAAATACTGGACAGTCTGGTTAAAAACCAGGCACCTGGCAACCCTACGCTAGTCCTAGTTTCCCACCTGGCTCCTCATCTAATCTCACACCCACAGCTACTGGTTTGTAATCTCCCTTTACTACTGCTGCCCTGCTTCCCCTTCCTTCTCCACACTGCCTGAACCCAGGGGCACTGAGCTCACAGGAGTGACAGTCTCCCTGCTCTCAGTTGCGTTTGCCAGGCCCAAACTCAGTATAGCCCACAATGGCCTAGTGCTGCAATTGCCGAAAGCCCTCATCACCATGGACAATATGGACAGATTGGGGGAGCAATTTAGCCCCTGTAAACTGTGAAGTTGCCACTGGAAATGCAATCTTTTAAAGGTTTGTAACCTGGTCACATTTGGGTGGATTCACAGGGCTGTATGATGGGGATCTGAGCCCCACACTGGTGAGATAAAGGCTAAAGAGCAGTTCTGGGCTCAGGAAGATGTGCTGAGGTGGGCACGCTCACAGTGCAGGCGGAAATCAAAAGGGAGCAGCTCCTCTCAGTCTGACTGGAGAGAGCAGGAGGGCAGTTGTGTGTAGTGGGCTCTTACTGACAAGCTGCTGAGGCCCTATGTGACTGGTACCAGGCCCCACTGCTTGGCCACTGCAGGCCCTCCAGCCATGGACATCAATGATGACAAGCTGCAACTGAGAGAGAAAGACCTCTCATGGTAACCTATTCTATTGATTATCTATCTGCATGGTTAGACATTTTTACTTATATCTAGCCTAAATTTTCAATGCTAAACATTCAGATAGAATAATGAAAGGCAGAGGAAGAATTCCTTATGTTAGCTTTCCACCTGATACTGGGCACTCTTGTTTCTTGCCAATGTCAAAAAAGGGGTTTTAGTTGATCTAGCCTGATTGTGTTTTCCAGATAAGTTATTGGGGCTACATGACAGAGGAACATTCCCCCAGGAAATTAATACAGGTTGGACCTCCCTGGCTGGCACCCTTGGGACCTGACCGGTCCTGAATGAGGGATTTTGCTGGACCAGTGGAGGTCATTGCTTCCCCCCCTGCTGCTGGCTCCACCCTCTGTCCTGGTGCCCCATTGGGGTTTCCCAATCCCCTGTGCAACCCAGCTAGGTTGTGTGCCAGGCTCCCCCCAGCCAGCTCCCCTTCTCCAGCCCAGGTGAGCCACATGCCAGGCTGCCTAGCTCCTGTGCTTTTGGCAGCTTTCCAGCTCCCAGCACCTATGCAGCCCAGCTGGGCCATGTACTGTGCTGTGCTCCAGGGCCCCCCACCCCCTGCAATGAGGGGTCTCTGATCCTGGAACATCTGTGGTCCAATGTTGCTGGACCAGGGAGTCCCAGTTTATAGAGGTGCAACCTGTAGTAGTAGTATGCTATTTCTGCAGCAAGGGACTCAGTTAAAAAAATGCCAAGAGCATAATGCTTTCTGGAGGAGACTTCTTCCTGGGCCATTTAACAAAAATATGTTGT